AGAATTACCTCTAAGACGCATTCACAAGTTACTTTAAGCCTAGCTTCTATCAACCTCATCATTTTTTCCTCCTAACTTATGATCATAAATTCCTTTAAATGCTCCCCAAACCCTAGCGGAATTAACTTTACTCCGATAAAGCTTTTAGGTTTTTCTCCTTAGCCCTCTTCGTACAGACAAAACAAACTAAATGTGAGTCCCGAAACATCGTTGGTGAAAAAGGCCGATAATTTGCGCCTTTAGTCTCCACTGTGATTGGTGAAATTAGACCCTCCGTACTTATTTCACCAAGAAGTAAGTCTCCCACCTTGCGTTGCTGGAAGACTCCTGTTTGATACCATTTACACATTTTTTGCTAAGACCCTTTTGACGGCAATTGGCGCATCGGCCTTGGCATTGACTTACTAAGTGTTATATAGATGTATTTTCTTCCCTAGACTAGTGGCGCTAAAACATTCATATACAATAATTAATCGCTAAATTTTGTGATAATTATACTAAAGCCTTAACAACTTGACTTGGATAATGCTCGTGTCTTCTTGCATTTCTGGCTACACAATTGGACCAGCGAGACTAGGTGCGTTCGGCAATTTCCGAGGCATTTGAAAATAGAGACAAAACTCATACGGTAAACGCAGAATTTTTTTAAATTTGATTCCTGGCCTTCTGGTATTACGTGTCTAGACATTTTCATCATAGACCCACCATTTCCTAGTCATTTAGGAAATGACTTATACCTCGACCCATGCTTGCGGCAAATTAAACAGAAATAATTCGAGCATTTGCAAAAACCTACAGCACAATCTGATCTGTAGGATCCATAACCCATACTCACAACTCCCGCCTAGAGCGCGACGATTTTTTTGCCCTGTCAAACGTAAACCAAATATGAAATTGCCTATTTTTTTTAAACCAATAGGTGCGCACAGTTGGGCCAAAGAAACTCTGAGGCTTCACGCGAAGGACGTTAGAAACCCTGCCTACTCGTCCAAACAGATAGAATTTGCTCAGACTGGTGATCATTTGTGGAATTCTGCCCAGCTACAGATGGTTAGAGAAGGCAAGATGCATGGATTCCTGCGAATGTATTGGGCAAAGAAAATACTGGAATGGACAGCTGAGGGCCCAGAAGAAGCATTAGCCCTAGCTATTCGCCTCAACGATAAATATAGTCTAGATGGAAGGGACCCCAACGGCTACACAGGTATGTGGGTGATTAAATAGTTAGCAGGACCTTTATATTTAGCAACTAATAAAGTATTACTTTTGCAGGATGCATGTGGTCAATATGCGGAATTCACGACCAAGGATGGGCCGAACGTCCAATATACGGCAAGAT